CTGGGACTAAAACCAGCTTGGATGGCAGCCAGCACTGCTGACCACAGGGCATCGGGTCTGGGGTTTGGGATTCCATGCTCGCAGCTAATCCAGGGTACGATTGCTATGGACCAGCGCTTTGCATACATAGTGATGATGACTGGCAATGCTTATTGTTAAAGACAGTCTAGTAAAATTCTGCTCTAAGGTTTGAAACTAGCCTAGCTTCTTCTAAGCACTCCCATCATGGAAATGTCTAGTTCCCAATTTAAATTATAAAAAAAAATATCAAAATTTGGATTTGACAGTATGAAACTTTTCTGTCTGTCATAGGACCGGCTTCAGTGTATTAGTACTCTCTTTCTCAGTTTCAGCAACTCATGTATAGCTTCCTCAGAGGAGTCCTGCAAGGCTTGCATGCACTTGGTTTCCATGTTAGGGCATGATGTGAGATTTATTAGAATTACCACTTTCTCTTCTGTTAACCTCAGGAGCAGGAGGTTAGAGCCTTTGGAAAAGTTTGTTTTCTGATAAGAGGACCACATGGGAAAAGGTTCAAAGCTGAGAAAAACATATGTGAAGGGAACATGATTTTTCTGTAAGGACAGCAAATTCTTGTTGCATTAAAGATGCCTCAATCATGAGGACAGAGAGAACAGACATTCCCAAGTTAGACACTCAGAGATGGTAAAATGCAATATGACCCAGTGTTAATGCAGAAGGCAGTAATTCCATTATTATTTTTTTGTCAGCCAAAACTTTCATGGCTTATGTTGTGATAATTGTAATTAATGCCATTTACTTTGTAACTGGGGAATTACTTATAAAGAACACAGTACCTACAGTGCACTGTAAACATTTTTGCGTATTCAGTATCAGCCCAGGCTCCTGCTCACGTCTAGCTGCTTCCTGAACGTTAATGCCGCCTGCATTATATTATATAAGCAAGCAATTCAAAACAAATTACTTGAGATTCTTCATGTATCACATTTTCCTGTAAACAATGAAAGTCATATGAGGAATACAAGTGAACAGGAATGAACCACACTAGCTACGTCATGTTAACAGTCGTGTTAAAATCCAATGATTTGGATTTTGGGCCTCGGGTATGCGGATTTCAGCAAGCAATCTTTCAACATGGTATCAAGCTGTAGTGAAAGATGCTGGGGTTTCCTTTTAAGTAATGGTTTCCCTCTTTACCTTCCACACGTTACTGGAGTTGAGATTGAAGTAAGCTATTCCTCTTCATTTGTATTCGATCCATCTGTATTTTGTAAGTAACACAGAAGACCTGGAGCCTGCAAAGAGAATTGCGGTGCCAGTGACCCATCTGCACAGCCGCTGAAGCCAAAGGTGATTTGCCCATGTGAATGTTTCACAACATACTGCCTCAGGGAGAGGCTCAGAATTACTTCAGAGTCACATAAAATAACTGCATACATTTTTGCAAGCTCACAGTTGAAGACAACATCAGCATTATCAACTACCATCTCCTGTAAGTATTAAAAGAAAAGTGGCAACTGCTGCCAGTGTGCTTTGTCCCAACACTGACTGGAGCAGGACGCCCTGGGAACACGCTCTGGATACCTATGGACGCTCGTGAAGGTTCATATGTGTGGTATCCAACGGGAGGCACATGCAATACAACACAAGCTGTGCATCCTGTTCAGACTAAGGGGTTTCTGAGCAGGTTAGGAGGCTAGAGGTGCCTGGAAACATCAGTGTCAAAAGCTGAGGTGCCTGTAGCCTTCCAGCACCTTCAACTTTACACGGCAGCTGAGGATCACCATTTTTTGATGCAGAGAGAATTTGGGTACGTGCATTTTTTTCACAGGATCACAGAAGAGCTGAAGTTGGAAAGCACTTCTGGAGCTTGCCTGGTCCAACACCCTGCTCAGAGCAGGGCACTCGAGTGCCTTGAGCCCTTTTAACACTGCTGCTGAAAGCAGTTGTCCGCCTTTTTCTTGTACTTTGATCCTTGTTTCCACTTTCACACTGCCTCCTTCCCCTGTTGTCAGCACAAATATCAGT